TAATTGTTTTACAAATACACACACGTGTACATCGACTTGGAATTAAATTTCATCAGTTTATTTGTAACTTTATTTGCTTTAACACGCTTTAACGCGCTTTTAGGGGAAAATTCTTCATGCATTTTTGGGAGCCATGGTTTACCCCGCGGTGCATCCGGAGTAGCGGTACATCGAGGAGCGTTAATTCGAGGGACCACTGTATTAGTAGGGCTTGACCTTGATCTGCATAGCTTAGGGGCCAGGGGACCTCCATTATTGAGTTTCAAAGCAGGGCTCAAGTTAAGGAACTTGTTTTAACCTGCACCAGGTGCATGTTATAAAAAACTAGATGCACCAGACTAAACCAGGTTGCACCCTGGTCCCATAACCTTATCAAAGTTGAAACACAAGCTGCATTAACTAGTCTTACTAAATAAAATCTCAGATCTCTGAGACTGTGTCATGTGTTTTGAATTACACATAACACAGGAATGAGTGATATTATAACGGTAACAATATTTTTCAGGGCATTATCATTTGCAGAAGCCCGAGGTCTTCCATTAACTGCCCGACGAAGGAACTCTAGACAAGCATTCAAACCTTGTAGTCTCTTCCCTTCACACCACAGCCTCGCTGACTTGGTTGAAGCATGTCATCGATCCCAATTGCGTGGATCGATGCTCATGATATCAATCACTGGATTGTCTTGTCCAGATTTGATTATGTACAGACCGCCGTCATATGGCTGGAATATTGTTGAGTGCGGCATAAAACAACAAACAAACCAACCAACCAACCTTCACACCATTAACACTGTAACTAGACAGTCATCAACATAGGAATGTGACGCAATGCAAAACCATCAACATCCAGTCTTCATTTTACATATACATCAATATAACATGCATTATGATATCCCAGTACATGGTACATCTACAAAAGACCCGTGAAGATCCGGGGTAGAATAGGTCTTCAGCAACCACGCTTGCTGTAAAAAGCAACTCTGCTTGTCGTAAGAGGTGACTAACAGGATTGGGTGGTGATGCTAATTTCTTTAAGACTAATTTTATTCCTCACAATTTGTAGTGTCATGTTCGAATCTATTGTCCGAAATGAATTCGCACTCATAACCCCATGGCCCACTCATATAATCCCATGACCACATCATACCAATATATGTTCAAAATGGTACTTGTTGTTTCCCTGCCTGCACTTGGCATCAAAGGGATAAAACAAGGACTGGTTGGCTCGGAGTCAGTATACTGTCCGAGTGGGGTATCGTTCATAAGTGGATCCAGAGGCGGGATCAAGGGAGTCTTGACCGCCCCCTTCCCCTTTTGAAAACCAATTGTAGTATGTTGGAGATGTAGATATTTTGGACCCCTCCTTTTTAAAAATGCTGGATCTGCCCTTGTCCATGTTATACTGCAGGATGACATCTGGTAGCACTATATAGTCCGGACAAATACAAGCAAGCACACACAAACACACACGCATGCATAAGTTTTTAAGTGCACGCGCACAACTAAAACTTGCTGTCCAATCAGATAACAAGAATCAGGAGTCCCACTCTGTTGATGACAAAACCATGCATAGTAGCTAAACGGATTCTGAAAAGCAATGAGAACATCTTTGGACAGTATGTGTTTTCATTGAACAAGGGGGGGCACGGGTGGTCCAGTCCTCTAAGGCGCCGTGATTCGCTGTGCAGAGTTGCGTCCCTTGGGCACGCCAGAAACCTGTGATTGTGGGTTTGAATCCCGGTTCGCCCCGATTATGTTTCTAGGTTTGTGAGCACCATACCCGTGCTCTTGGGTTTCACCGAAGTGGTAAACCTCTGAGACCTGCATCACTTCGTGCTTTCCTCCCACATTAAGCTGACACGCCGTGATATAACTGGAATAATGTTAAAAGCGGCGTTACACCCAACTCACTCACTCATTGAACAAGGACTGTGGTGGAGTGAGAAGCAGTGCATGTACACTGTATCTGTTCGCATAGATTGTAGAGGATTATATATTTTTTGTTTGTCCAAAAGAAATCTTCCTGGAAAGCAAAAGAAATTACCAAATTAAGAAAACAGGGCTTAGTGATTTATTGTGAAACTTAACTCACTGGCCCATGATCATTTCACAGAACTGTCCTCAAGCTGTCTGTTCTGTGTTTCCATTAAATGGTAATTTCTGTGAATTTACCAGTAAAATATGCCAAGTAAAATTTACCCCTAATGGTCCACTGGACCAGCAATAAATCTAATATCTCTTAAAATAGAAGTCTTGACCAAATCTCTGTCTAGATTTATGAATATTAAGCTATCTGAAAGTGATGTCTTAAGACGTTTGTTTTTGCAAGAGGCTGGAAAGTTCCTCATTTATATTTAGCCAATCTTAACCATTGGTTGATATGAATCACATGATAGTTAATAGATGGGACCGACAAGATATAGTTCATATATTGGTAGTTTTAAGTACTGCTGGTCCTGTACGCGGGTACATTTTAAACTCAATGGAAGCATGATGTTATCCATTGTGTACTGTAGCATCACAGTGGTCACAGTCGGTCGGAAGCAAGTAAACATGCAGCCCAGAAACACTCCACTCCTGCTGTTGTGATGCAGATCAATGGGTAGAATAGGTCTTCAGCAACCCACGCTTACCGTAAAAGGCGACTATGCTTGTCTTAAGAGGCTACTAAAGGGATCGGGTGGTCAGGCTCCCTGACTTGGTTGATGCATGTCATCGTATCCCAATTACGTGGATCGATGCTCATGGTATCAATCACTCGATTGTCTGGTCCAGAATATTGCCGAGTGCGGCGTTAAACAACAAACCAAACCATTGGGGGCAATTGTCAGGTCATGATTTTTAGCTCACCTGACTGAAAGTGAGCTTATGTCGTTGCACGTCCATTGTTCATCCATCAGTGGCTTCAATCACCCCCTGACATACAAGGCCCATGGAGCTAAGACTTTGTACGAATGATTCCTGCTATGATGTCTCTGATACAATGCTCAACGAATTCTAACCGATTTGATACATAGTTGTTATTCAATCTCATTGAAATCATGTCTTAGTTCTTGCTACCCTAAAACAAAGATCTGAGGTCATCCCATTGCAGGTGATGAAAGAAGGACCTTTTGCAAACTTTGACTGACTAAAGAAATAACTAACATGAAGTGGACATTAGCCTGTCACTAAACAGCTTTCTTGAGCTATAAGGCACTAGTTTTAAAATAGCAATTTCGCTTTGAAAAATATTTTGACAAATTCTCGACTCAAAATTTGAAGACTTAACAAAAGAACATTGTGGAATGCCTTCTAGAATTCTGGAAGTCTCTTCAGTGTTTCTCCCACTGAAGCAAGAGATAGACGATGATTTTGACGGATTCAGTAAAGCCCGTTACTGTCGTTCGAATTACCTTGTTAAATGTTTCGAGGTTGCATGATTAGAAAACACATTCCAACCATCATCTTCCTGATCTGGTTCGCAACTCTCTGATTGGTTGGATGAAGGTCGTTCTGACGTGACCCCTAATAGGCTGTCCTCAGGGCTTTGTTTAGCAGTAGTGAGAACGAAGATCTGATTTGAATGAGATTCATTTGTTATTTATAAATCAGCTGAGCTTACGTACCTTGTGTGTATGTCGTAAGTTTGTCTTGTAGTAGTGTGTAACGTCTGTACTGTGTGTGTATGTCGTAAGTTTGTCTTGTAGTAGTGTGTAACGTCTGTACTGTGTGTGTATGTCGTAAGTTTGTCTTGTAGTAGTGTGTAACGTCTGTACTGTGTGTATGTCGTAAGTTTGTCTTGTAGTAGTGTGTAACGTCTGTACTGTGTGTGTATGTCGTAAGTTTGTCTCGAAGTAGTGTGTAACGTCTGTACTGTGTGTGTATGTCGTAAGTTTGTCTTGTAGTAGTGTGTAACGTCTGTACTGTGTGTGTATGTCGTAAGTTTGTCTCGAAGTAGTGTGTAACGTCTGTACTGTGTGTATGTCGTAAGTTTGTCTAGTATTAGTGTGTAACGTCTGTACTGTGTGTGTATGTCGTAAGTTTGTCTCGAAGTAGTGTGTAGTGTCTGTACTGTGTGTATGTCGTAAGTTTATCTTGTAGTAGTGTGTAACGTCTGTACTGTGTGTGTATGTCGTAAGTTTGTCTCGAAGTAGTGTGTAGTGTCTGTACTGTGTGTGTATGTCGTAAGTTTGTCTTGTAGTAGTGTGTAGTGTCTGTACTGTGTGTATGTCGTAAGTTTGTCTTGTAGTAGTGTGTAACGTCTGTACTGTGTGTATGTCGTAAGTTTGTCTTGTAGTAGTGTGTAGTGTCTGTACTGTGTGTGTATGTCGTAAGTTTGTCTTGTAGTAGTGTGTAACGTCTGTACTGTGTGTATGTCGTAAGTTTGTCTCGAAGTAGTGTGTAACGTCTGTACTGTGTGTGTATGTCGTAAGTTTGTCTCGAAGTAGTGTGTAACGTCTGTACTGTGTGTGTATGTCGTAAGTTTGTCTCGAAGTAGTGTGTAGTGTCTGTACTGTGTGTGTATGTCGTAAGTTTGTCTCGAAGTAGTGTGTAACGTCTGTACTGTGTGTGTATGTCGTAAGTTTGTCTCGAAGTAGTGTGTAACGTCTGTACTGTGTGTGTATGTCGTAAGTTTGTCTCGAAGTAGTGTGTAACGTCTGTACTGTGTGTGTATGTCGTAAGTTTGTCTCGAAGTAGTGTGTAACGTCTGTACTGTGTGTGTATGTCGTAAGTTTGTCTCGAAGTAGTGTGTAGTGTCTGTACTGTGTGTATGTCGTAAGTTTTTCTCGTATTAGTGTGTAACGTCTGTACTGTGTGTATGTCGTAAGTTTTTCTCGTATTAGTGTGTAACGTCTGTACTGTGTGTATGTCATAAGTTTGTCTCGTATTAGTGTGTAACGTCTGTACTGTGTGTATGTCATAAGTTTGTCTCGTATTAGTGTGTAACGTCTGTACTGTGTGTATGTCGTAAGTTTGTCTCGTATCAGTGTGTAACGTCTGTGCTGTGTGTTTCAGAGCAAGGCCCTAACACGCCCTCACAGACCCCAAGTGTCCAGATTGACCCGAGTCAGCACTTCCGGCTATTCCAGGAAATCCAGGCAGCATTGACAGCGGATGAGGATGGGGATGTGTGAGTACCGACAGAAAAGCTCCAACCTTGAATTTTGTACCAACAGTCATTTATATTGAAAGTAGGGTGTGTGCAGAGTTGCGTCCCTTGGGCACGCCAGGTTCCTAGGATCGTGAATTTGAATCCTGGTTTGCCCTGATTATGTTTCTAGGTCTGTCAGCACTCTACCTGTCCCAGTGGGTTTCACCAAAGTGGTAAATGTTGGAGACCTGCGTCACTTCGGGCTTTCCCCCAACATTACCGTATATCGCCGTCTATAAAGCGACACCATGTATAAGGCGACCCCCCAGTACAAGACTTCAAAATCGACGCTAAGTTATAAACCCTATCTATAAGGCGAAGGAATGAAGCACGTCACCAGCGCATACACAATCCCTACGTTTACAAGAAAAACGTGTTTGTCCTCCGCAAAAAAAAATTACATCGTATCCCTTCAGCGAATTCAGGGAAACGAACAGATCATGGCAATTAAACTTGGTCAATACAAATTTGAAATTTGACATGAAACATCACTGGACATGATGATTTACCAATGAAATTGTATTTCCTGTTCTGCTAGGCATTTTTTACAATATTGAATGAAATTTTGACTAGATTAAAAGATTAAAATAGATTACAAACATATGTCCAGATATAGAGCGTACACTTTTTATAACCAGACAGTGTAATTACATGATTAATTTTTGTACAGATTTGTTGACAGGGTATTTCAGGTGTTATGTCATCACAGTAATGTCTTTGTGTTGGGGGAAAAAACCCATCAAAACTCTTCACCCCCCTTGAAAGCGCACTAATTCTAGGTATGAAAATCTTGCCTTATACACAGTGATATACGGTAAGCTGCATGCCATGATATAACATGGGGTACTTTTCAAAGTGGTTTTCGGGGGGATCGGGTAGCCTAGTGGTTAAAGCGTTCGCTCGTCACGCCAAAGACCCAGGTTCAGTTCCCGACATGGGTACAATGTGTGAAGCCCATTTCTGGTGTCCCCCGCCGTGATATTGCTGGAATGTTGCTAAAAGCGGCGTAAAACCATACTCACTCACTCACTCAAAGTGGTGTTAAACCCAAGTCACTCACTCACTCACAAAATGGAAAGTAACATTGGTGACTGTCGACATTGTCTGAGCCAGAGGGAAATGAAAGGGAATAACAACATCAATGACTTCATGGAGAGCCATGTGATGGCTGCTGCAATTGTTGGATACCAAATCATTCGCTGTTGACTCACAAACTGTTGTTGTTTAGTCATAAGCTATTGATGTTTAAAATATTTATTTGCGGCTGCAGTTAATCAAACAGTTATAACTGGTTGGTTGACTTTCCAAACAATACAGCTGTTCAAACAACAACTCTTTGTGCTGGCTTTTTTTGTCGCATCTAAAATGCCATGTAGGAATTAGTTTTAAAAATAAGGAAATGATTAAAACCAACACCAGCGAAATAATTTGTCCCCCATCTTGAAAGAAAATGGAAAGCCAATAATAAATAAGTACCTGTTAACGAAACCTGTGAAAAATCAATTTTTGAAAACACAGGCAAGGTTATTAAATGAGTTCCAGAAGCTATTGTTATGCCTGTTAATGCGGTTAGTAGGATTCATATTGGAGGGGGGCGGTTGGGTAGCCTAGTGGTTAAAACGTTCACCGAAGAGCCGGGTTCGATTCCCGACATGGGTACAATGTGTGAAGCCCATTTCTGGTGTCCCCCGTCGTGATATTGCTGGAATATTGCTAAAAGCGGTGTAAAACAATACTAACTCACTCACTTACTCACTCACTCATATCAGAGGTATGGATATATTTTTGTAAATTGGACATTGACACAAACATTCATTCACACACACATACACTCACTTTCTGTACAGATCCATGAAAAGGTTTGATCACAATGAAATACAGTAAACTATGGCTATAACAAACTCAAAGGGAGCAGTAATTCTAGTTATTATGTTAGTTATAACCATAGTTATGAGAATGAATACAGCATATATACAACAAAGTCACAGGACAAATAAATCCAGTTAGTTATAACTGTCAGTTCATTATAAGTGTGTTCGTTATAAACATAGTTTACTGTAGTGACATCAAGACATACGTTTAAGTAAGCAAGAAATATTGTACATATTAAATCAGGATCACTGAGCTCCTGAAGTAGACATACCTACACTAGCTAGTTCATGGTAAAACATTCACTTGGTATACACTGGTATAGACCTTAGAAATCCCTGCATATGACACCTTGCAACACTTCACGCCTCCCTGTTGCAGTCCCTTGCATCTGGCAGTGGTGCATGAGCACATCCCACTGGTGAACAAGTTTATCCAGCTCATGAAGATCGCCAGGAAGAGTGTGGACCGCTTCAACAAAGACAAACAGGTAAACTGTGGTTGGTTAACTGTTTGTTACTTTTGTTGTTTGTTTGTTTGTTTATTGTTTAACACCGCACTCAGCAATAAAGGACGGTGGTCTGTAAATAATCGATTCAGGACCAGACAATCCAGTGATTGACATCATGAGCATCGATCCACGCAATTGGGATACGATGACATGCATCAACCAAGTCAGCTAGCCTGACTACCCGATCCTGTAAGTCGCCTCTAACGACAATCATAGTTGCCTTTTACGGCAAACATGGGATTCTACCCTGGATCTTCACGGGTCCTACTGCAGTGCATATCAGTGCCGCCGAAGACCCGGGTTCGATTCCCGACATGGGTACAATGTGTGAAGCCCATTTCTGGTGTCCCCCGCCGTGATATTGCTGGAATATTGCTAAAAGCGGCGTAAAACGAAACTCACTCACTCACTCACTCACACATATCAGTGCCTGATAACATGGGAGTAAATACTCAGTGACTGAAGTTGTCTGGAGTGCTACGACTGTTGTAAGTCTGTGTTAAATTTGTTGGAGTTACGATCACCTTAGCGCTAAGATTGCTTTGTACAACAGCACCCTGATAATTACTGTCCCTTTCCTTCCCTCAGACCCCCCGGTAGTACCCCTGTAGCGCTACGATTGTCGTAAGTCTAGTTAAGGCATGGGAGTTCAGCTTTCCTTAGCGCTAAGATCGCTTTGTACAACAGCACCCTGATCATTACTGTCCCTTTCCTTCCCTCAGACCCCGCTGTATTGCCGCTGTAGCGCTACGATTGTCATAAGTCTAGTTAAGGCATGGGAGTTCAGCTCTCCTTAGCACTAAGATCACTTTGTACAACAGCACCCTGATCATTACTGTCGCTTTCCTCCCCACAGACCCTGCCATTGAACAAAACAAACTTTAAACTACGACTGTCGTAAATCTAGTTAAGGTATGGAAGTTATGATCACCTTAGCGCTAAGATCGCGTTGATCATTACTGTCCCTTTCCTCCACACAGACCTCGCTGTAGTACCGCTGTAGCGCTACGATTGTCGTAAGTCTAGTTAAGGCATGGGAGTTCAGCTCTCCTTAGCGCTAAGATCGCTTTGTACAACAGCACCCTGATCATTACTGTCCCTTTCCTTCCCTCAGACCCCGCTGTAGTACCGCTGTAGCGCTACGATTGTCGTAAGTCTAGTAAAGGCATGGGAGTTCAGCTCTCCTTAGTGCTAAGATTGCGTTGATCATTACTGTCACTTTCCTCCCCACAGACCTCGCTGTAGTACCGCTGTAGCGCTACGATTGTCGTAAGTCTAGTTAAGGCATGGGAGTTCAGCTCTCCTTAGCACTAAGATCACTTTGTACAACAGCACCCTGATCATTACTGTCGCTTTCCTCCCCACAGACCCTGCCATTGAACAAAACAAACTTTAAACTACGACTGTCGTAAGTCTAGTTAAGGTATGGAAGTTATGATCACCTTAGCGCTAAGATCGCGTTGATCATTACTGTCCCTTTCCTCCACACAGACCTCGCTGTAGTACCGCTGTAGCGCTACGATTGTCGTAAGTCTAGTTAAGGCATGGGAGTTCAGCTCTCCTTAGTGCTAAGATGGCGTTGATCATTACTGTCACTTTCCTCCCCACAGACCTCGCTGTAGTACCGCTGTAGCCCTACGATTGTCGTAAGTCTAGTTAAGGCATGGGAGTTCAGCTCTCCTTAGCGCTAAGATCGCTTTGTACAACAGCACCCTGATCATTACTGTCCCTTTCCTTCCCTCAGACCCCGCTGTATTGTCGCTGTAGCGCTACGATTGTCATAAGTCTAGTTAAGGCATGGGAGTTCAGCTCTCCTTAGCACTAAGATCACTTTGTACAACAGCACCCTGATCATTACTGTCGCTTTCCTCCCCACAGACCCTGCCATTGAACAAAACAAACTTTCAACTACGACTGTCGTAAGTCTAGTTAAGGTATGGAAGTTATGATCACCTTAGGGCTAAGATCGCGTTGATCATTACTGTCCCTTTCCTCCCCACAGACCTCGCTGTAGTACCGCTGTAGGGCTACGATTGTCGTAAGTCTAGTTAAGGTATGGGAGTTCAGCTCTCCTTAGCGCTAAGATTGCGTTGATCATTACTGTCACTTTCCTCCCCACAGACCCCGCTTCATCTGGCAGTGAAGCTGAACTTCCTGGGGGGAGTCAAGGCTCTGCTAGAGGCTGGCGCCGATGTCAACTTCGTGGACAAGACCGGCTGTACGTCCATCCACCTGGCGGTGAAGCATCAGCTGCCGGAGTGCCTCCAACTCCTGGTCAATGGCACCAAGGAGAAGGCGGACTTCAATACCAGGAACTTCGAAGGTTGGTCGCAATGAATGTCTGCTGTGATATTGTGAGTGTGGTGTAAAACAACTGACCATCCCAAGCTGACTTACACAGCTGATGGCTTGGTTCCTATTTAACTGCATCTAATTATAAATGCTTTGCAGATCCTTGGGAGGTCATCAGTTGCCTTGCATCACGATCAAATGACATCAATGATCTCTCTGACACTGAAGCTGGCATTCGTGATCAACTTGTGTGACAAGCCAAATAGCGACTGGTGCCCCTCTGGGCCACTCTTGCGACTGGGTTCCGTCTTATCGCAAACGGGCATAGCTAAAAGAATTGTCAACCCATTGTGTAATGATTCATGCATATTTCCCCAATATATCATATTTCAAATGTTATTTAACACTTATTGGGACTTGTGGATTTACACAGTTTGATTGAACACGTTTAACTGTATCTGGGTATGTTTTTCGATACAGGACATGCCTAAAATAATAAATTATTCCTGAGGGATTCTTTGACTAAAGTACTTGAAGTCATACGTGCATTCTGATTGGTTTGTTGTGTTTTCGCACATAACATTCATCGATAGGGTGACGAGTTAGGGAAAGGGCGAGTGGTGATGAATGTGAAGCTAGTTAACTTTTGTTTTTCTACCCTCAATGCTCTGCTTATAACTGTTTACCCAATGAAAAAGATATCGGATGAAAAATAGCATCTCACTTTTGTATCTTTTTATCCATATTTTTTTATATGAGTTGAAGACTCTGCCCCTACTGCTTCAGAGTTCACATTCAATTTTGTCATAGTAAAATATAGAACATATGGTTTGTTTCCAATAAAGAACTTGTTACCTGTAGATTTGACTTTGCTAAATTTAACATTTGAAACGTCACATTCCAAATTTCAGTTCCAAATATACGAGTACAGGTACCATTGCTCCTGACTGAAAACACAATACATCTTTATCTCCTGATAATTCCAGGCCTGTCATGAGTGTTGAGGGTCATGAGTGTGAGGCAGAGGGTTGGTTTTGGGGACTGGTCATTTGTTATTTAGGGTGGGGGGAATTGGTCTTGGATTGTATGACTCACAAATGGCCAGGCCTGAAATACGGTTCAAATTGATCATTTTTGTATTTTCGCCCCCATTTCCCTGTAACGAATGACCAGTCCATTGAGGGTTTGTGTTACTTTGTCTCAATCTGCCTTGTCTAGAATTATTGGGGCGGTGGGGTAGCCTCGTGGTCAATGTGTTCGCCTATGACGCCGATGACCCAGGTTCTAATCCCCACATGGTACAATGTGTGAAGCCATTTGTGGTGTCCCACCGCCATGATATTGCTGGAATATTGCTGAGAGTGGTGTAAAACCTTACTCACTCACTCACTATAGTATTATTAGACCCGTGAAGATTCCGGGGTAGAAAAGGTCTTCAGCAACCCATGCTTGCCGTAAAAGGTGACTCTGCTTGTCGTAAAAGGCGACTAACGGGATCGGGTGGTCAGGCTTGCTGACTTGGTTGATGCATGTCATCGATCCGTATTGCTAGGATCGATGATCATGATATTAATCACTGGATTGTCTGGTCCAGACTCGATTATTTACAGACCGACGTCATATACCTTGAATATTGCTGAGTGCGGCTTTAAACAACAAACAAACTCCAGAGTATTATTGTTAATAAAACATTCTTGGTGTTTTCTTCACAGGGTTAACTCCCCTGCACACAGCGGTGGAGCTCAGAAACAAGGACCTCCTGACATATATCCTGGACCGTGGCGCTGACATCAATATGATGGTGAATAGATGCCACCAGTGGCAATTTGTTATTAAAACTCACTTTGAACACACAGTGCCATTTAGATAGTGGTCAGATGTAACAAATGTTATATTTGGGATAACACTTTTTCAGTAAAGTACAGATACTCAAATGTTTTGGGTTGAGCCCCATCACGAGTGTGGTTATCATGGTTATCATGAAGTAGAGAGTTTTAATAGAACAGTTGCTATCTCAGTCTATCTATCAGTCTATCTCAATCTGTTTAACATTCCTGGGTTCCATTTACAATACGATTACATGCCATACAATACTGAAAACCAGATTTAAAAAGCACACAATATTTTTTTTATTTTTTTTACCACCGACCCTGAAAGAAGAAACCCAAATTCCATAAACCAGCTAAAAACAATAAATTACCTTATCTGCAAATATGATCACAAATATTGGGCATTACAATGTAGTTAGATTATGCCTCAGTCACACTTGCTGTGGTCCATGGGGTCTAAAATATTTACGGCTAATAGCAATTATAGGGCCTCCGCAGCATTCCCACGATCACATACTGTAGCTGTCACATATGTTAGGGTAACCGCACGGCGTTTTTTTAATTTCTGGAGTCAAAAAACCTGCGGTGACCGTGCGGCCAGACTGACGCTACTGCTACACAGGGCAGACGCACGGCAAATGCAAGGCCACTGTATGCCCATTGATGGTCACCGTGGAACCGCTTTATGGCATGGCTACGGCATGTCTAACTGCCTAATTGCTACAGTGAACCTAGAAATTAAAAAAATTATAATCCCACAGCGACCCCTACAGCCTGTAAAAGATAGGGATGCGCCCTAAGGTGACCCTGAGGCCACTGGAGATCCTCTGCGGCCGCCGGAGGTGTTTCTTAATTTCGGGGGGCTACGGCTGCCATATCCTAGTCGTAGAGCAAATGTGACTGATGCATAAACAAATGTGCAGAGAGTAAATAAATACCTGAAACATGATTAAAAAGCATGATTAGTGGAGTGAGATAATATTTTTTAGTTTAATCATTAAATTCATTACGAGATCTAGCATCAAATAATATTCAATTGAAATGACCCCCTACAAAAGACGATGGCGTCATAATGACCCCCAGTTTTAAGAGCCTAGGGCAAACCCTGGGATTGAGCCTCAACAGACACCATAAAATAAAAAATGTATGGTCTCTGGTCTCAAATCAAATTCCTTTGTTGTATTTGTCTGCTCGGTGCTATATAACAACATGAATTGGGAAATATTTAAATGATTCCAGTGTGGAAATATTTTTACTGCTCATTGCTGCAGACTAAGGTCTGAATATGGGCCTCTGTGCAGGCCTAGATAAATACTGAATCGACATTGGCGGGATTAGAATGAACTGGTGATCTAATAATGTCTAAAGAATATTACCCACCTCTGATTAATTTTATGCATGAGACTGCGAAATGCTTGTGTATATAATTCATAACATTCCTCCCAGGTTTTTTGCGTGTTTAGAATATGTACATTTGACCATATCTTTGCTGTAACATGACTAACACGACAGAGCTGGAGGAGTTGTCTCCCTTAGTACAGTACATGTGCTGTAAGTGATTTGTTGTGCCCAGTCTAGTGAAGGAGTTCTCTCCCTTGCACATCTGCCATTATAGCTGTCAAACCCAACATCTGTATATGTATATATGCAGGCATTAGTATAACCAGGGTGTTTTGGAAAAAGGGTTTTTGATATTAGCTTAAATTGTAGTTTATTAAATTCTATCATGCTTTGGGTTAAAATACAGATGGATATGAGAGAAGTGACTTTACAGGGTGAGGGAACCACCAACAGGTCAAAAGGTTATCAATTTTGCTTCTCTGGGAAATAAAAATGGCTATTGGCGGAAATTACCAAGATTGCTGGAAATGGAAATGATTGTTTGGGGGGATTCGTTGTCTAATCCCGATCTCACAGGGAAATGGGTTTTCATCTTAGGGTTGTTTGAGTTATGAGTATGTTCGGTTGACCAATGAGTTAGGAAATTAACTGAGGGTTTGGTCAAGAGGAGCTTCATGGTAAAACTGATTGGAATGGAAATTCGGGTTCATAAGGAGGTGAGCGATGGGACTCATTTCACACGATGTCAAACATCATTTCGGTGGGAGGAGCTAAAATTATCATCGATAGTATTTTGTTAGTTGTCCGGTAGTGGTGCCGGGATTCGGAAACTCACGGCTAAACTGAGAGGTTCTCTCTGTAGATTGGAATTCCGGGTCAGAAAAGTAGTACAGTTAACAGTGGATCAGAAAAGCTATCAGGCTTATCAATGCAACATTTAGGTATGTGTTGTATTTAAGTGATACAGGCAACAAGAAAATAGCTGAGGACCTTGTATACATTTACCATAACTTCTATCTTCAATAAAAGGACTGGAGCACCCAAGTTGACTTGTGATTTGAGAGCTACATCATCCCAAGAACCAAAGAGTGGTTAACCAGAGCATGTGTCCAAAGGTAGAAGGGTATAGTACCCGACACCTAAGGTTACATTAGGATGTTCCGGGGATCCGCAATTTTCCGTGAATTTTAGTGACCACAAATTTGTCAAATTCTGATGAACCCCCCATAAACACACCCAAATTATGGACCACGCTCCATTGAAAAGAAGTTTCAGCTGAAAAGGAAAATATCCTTTCTCATCCCTGTATATGTACATCTTTAGTTAGGAATTAAGGGGTCCTATGTTTCATAGGTTTTCTACCACAGGTGGGCTAAAGGGGTCCTTGTTTGCGTATACAGAAATGTACCCAAGCCAAACTCAGAATACAGAAAGGTGCCCTAGGATGAGTCCATTCTGCCACGGCCTCAATGCGCTCACCGCGTTCCTTGAACACTTACATATTGACACATCCTGGATGTCAAACCGCGGTAAATGTCAACATGACTGTATATGTTAGGCCTATTTATTTTTCTCTTGGTATTTCCTTTACATAAATGGATTGAACTGTCATACTGTTGTATGAGATGCATTCAAGTGTGCTATATAAACAACAAGCATTCACAGTGACGTACAGTGCTCTTATATTCCACAATGCACAGTATTATCCAGCATGCACTCGTCTAATCAGATGAACCAGGGCCCACTAGCACAAAGTCATCTTAGCGCTAAGACTATCATGAGCCTGTTAAAATATGGGAGTTACGATCATGTTAGCGCTAAGATCTCTTTGTGCAAGTGGGCCCAGAACTACAACTGTTTTAGGGTTGAGGAATATGAACTCGTCAACTGTTTAGGGTACGACGTACATTTCTGTATTCTGATTTTGGCTGGGGTTGATATTTCTGTACGCGGAAATGTACCTGGAATGCATATCTGAAGTAACCGTGCTGATAGTGGCCCCTTCAGCCACAGTAGGCCTACTCTAGGTATCAATTTAATTTTGAAGTTTTAAACCAGGCCTCAGCGAACTGATATCTGATCACCGACAAGCCCATCTACCACTTATTAGTGACATGTATAGGGCCAGGCTTTTTTTATTTTTAGGACTACGGATTTTTCAGTCCAAAGTCCAGGGTTGGAGGAGGGGAAAAAAAAGAAAAAAAAGCCAGATGCATTTTTTTAAAAATGCAGAATGCCTCTGGCATACTTTATGAACATATTCTGTGCTCAAAAGACCGCCATTTGTGACGATAAAGCCCCTTGTAACAATAAAAATTCTACCACTTACATCACGGACAATTGTCAAGGGAGGCTATTCATGTTCGGCTTCGAGATCAACAAAGATTGATTATGCATCTCTTTACTAGTTTACACCGGTAAATTCATATGTTTTTTATTAAAAGGTGATGATAACAAATAAAATGACTGACTACGTGGCTATTGGCTGGGGAAATAGAAATGGAAATCTGATTATTTACGGCGGGTCTAGCGAACTAAGAAATCTCACTCAGTGTCAAGTGTCAATTAGCTGTACAAAATCAGCGGTGAATCAACACAATCAGAGGTGGTCCAGACTCGATAATTTACAGACCACCGTCATATAGCTGGAATATTGCTGAGTGCGGCGTTAAATAACAAAAAAACAAAAAAAAAGTTATTTAACATGACGATATGACTTATTGTTGATCCCAGGATGGCAAGAGTGGACGCACACCAATGTTCCACGCGGCTGAGAACAATGAAATAGACATGGTAGAGATGCTTCTGAAGAGGGGAGCTAACCCTGACGTGTTGAACTACGCAGGCAGCACAGCCATCATGGCAGCTCAAGCCCGCAACTTCAATCTGATCACGAAGATGCTGAGTCGGGCATCGGAGTGGAATGATGAGGAGGGGAGTGGAACATCGTCTCCAGCCTCGGAGGTATGTGACCATTGTGTGAAATAATCCCCCATTGCTAGATGGTCTTTGGTATCATGAAAGTCCTGCTCAAGCAAGGATCAAGGGATTCAGGGTTAGAATGTAAGTCCCCATCAACCTATCCTTGTTGTAAGTTGCAGCAGAAATGGATCGGGTGGTCAGACTTGTTGATTTGTTTGATGCATGTATTTGTATCCCAATTGTATAGATTGATACTTATGTTGTTGATCACTGGATTGTCTGGTCCAGACTTGCCCTGTGACCCAGGTGTCCGAAGCAGCACAGGTACTATGCAGGGTTGCATGCCAAAGTATGCTGGGAAACTTGCGATAATGCTTCCACATTTGTGGACGTTGTATTCTGAAATTCATGATCATATGTTTTAGCAAATTGTCAAGGTCTAAGACAGACATTCCTCCCACATTAGACCTGTGAAGAGTAGGTTAGAGTAGGTCTTCAGCAACCTGTGCTTGCCGTAAAAGGCGACTATGCTTGTCGTAAGAGGCGACTAACGGGATTGGGTGGTCAGGCTTGCTAACTTAGTTGATGCATGTCATCGTATCCCAATTGCGTGGATTGATGCTCATGATGTGAATCACTGGATTGTGTGGTCCAGGTTCGATTATTTATTCATATAGCTGGAATATTGTTGAGTGTTGTTAAACAACAAACAATCAAATCCTCCAACATTAAGCTTCAAAGCAGTGTTAAGCTCACTCCTGAAAGTTGTATTGTGTTGTTTCAGGTCAGTGTGTACCTGCCTGACCCGGCAGTCGGGGTGTGGAATCATGCTGTTCCCCTCCGCAATCCCGCAACCAAGCAGAAGGGCACCGCACAAACTGCCCCCGTGGCAACGTTTGTCCGAGCTTCCTCATCACTGGCTGCTGACAATGAAGTGAGCCTCACTCAGAGTAGTGCTGTGAAGCCTCCCGAAACTGTGCCCCGAGTAACCGTTGGCAACAGCATCATGGACAAGACAGCAGTGGTAATGGAAAAGAGGCCATCAGAATTTATATCAAGGACAGTGTCCAGGTCCCCCGAGTTTAATTCTGTGGTAGCAGATGAGTTTAAGGGAAAAGATCAGGAGAAAGGGAACAGTAATAAATTAGCTCAGCCTGTTGAGCGAACACCTAGTTTAAGATCCACTGAATTAAATATGGCTGACATTTCCAAATTGCCTCCACTGATGGTGCGAGATATGATGCAGAAAATATTGGCTGCAAAGCAGCAGATGAAATCCTCTTCCGGACCGGAGAGAAGAGGAAGTGGTTCAGTTCAAAAAACCGGTTCTGATGTGATTGTGTCGCGTTCCAATTCAACATTGTCCTTGACAAAAGTTCTGTCAACGGATCAGATTGTTACGTCAAGCCCAGAAACTGTGATGTGTCAAACGCCTGCCACGTCACACCTGCCTGTGACATCGCATACATCTGCGACGACTCATCCAACGGTGACAGCTCATCCGTCGGTGATGTCTCGAATGTCAGTCACTTCTCAAGTGCCTGTGATGTGTCATCCGTCTGTGACGTCTCATCCATCGGTGACTTCTCAGCGACCTGTGGCATCGCGCTCCCCAGTTATATCTCATGCAGGGATGCCAATAGTGACATCTCACCCAATTGTGACATCTCACCCAATTGTGACGTCTCACCCAATCATGACGTCTCATCCAACCGGAATGTCACACCCAGCTGTGACCTCACATCAAATCTCTCGTCAGAATGTCACGCCATCTCCACCATCATCTGTCACACCTCGACCCGAGTCGACAACATCACGTCATGTGGCCCCGTCATCACAAATGGTGGGAAAAGTGTCCCAAGTTATTGAGAAGCTGCCACAGCAGCCTGAACGAATTATCAGCACTGGGATGGTTGTAGAGCACCCAGAGTTTGGGCTTGTGTTTCGGCCATTTAGTGCTGGACCTGTTCATAAACTTAACCAGCCAGAGACAGCTCCCAAGTCACATCCCCCTTCCCCAGCGATGAGGCTTGCAGAACTGCCTGTGCAGCAGTCACAGAATGTGTCTGAAAAAACTGCAGCTGAAAAATCACTTAAGAAAACCAAAAGTCAGTCTGATGGAAGTGCAACAGCATCCGCAACAAAGAAGATGGGCAATGGAGACACACAAGTTACCTCCTCTATACCTGACGCCATTTCTTCAACAAAGGAACAACCTTCTCATCCTGTCACAGAAACACTTCTTAATTCAAAACCCAAATCAACACCCATTCCAAAATCCAGACCGGAAAGTAGTTCTAAATCCCAGTCTGTATCTTCTACTGCAGAAACAAATCCAGTGAAATCAATTGCTAATTCAGCCATAGCTGCCAAGTTGCGTCAACGAGTGCTGAATTCACCACATGTAGATTCCGCAACAAAGGCATTGGCAAATGCCACAGTGACTGTTACCCCGACAACCCAGTCTAATGAGACTGTAACGACTGCTCCGGAGCGGGTCCCGAAGTTGCCGCAATTTAGTTCCCGTCCTCTCAGCATTGCGCCCAATTCCGCAGGTTCTTCCACAGAACCACGCAAGGTAGGGGTTTCCAAAATACTGGAACATCTGGCCAAACCAATTGACAGTTACCCTACTGAACGGCCCAGGTTAAACATCGATGGAGGTAAACAAAACATTGATGGAGGTAAACAAAACATTGATGGGGGAAAGAAGACTGAAAAGAAGAAGAAAAAGGATCCAGGTGGTTCCGAAATGAAAAAGAAAACCGTATTTATCAAGAGGGAGAGCGAGGAAAAGAACAGCGCTCGGTGAGATGGCCAAGTCAATGTAATGTGAGTGTTGTGTGGTGATCAAGGAACATGCTCTGTGCTTTGTAGGAGGCAATTGATGTGGATGGTGGATCTGATTGGTGATTTTTGGCAAATTTGTAGAAATCATCTAGCCACAAGGTATAGAGGTCTATAGCAGACACCTTGATTCTCAAGTCGAACCAGATATTGAGACGTAAAACCTGCATGACTGGCATGAAGGGCCACAGGTTTGTAGATATGATGAATGAGTGCTTTAAACATAGATGGAAAAGTAAAGTGGGCGTGACAGAGTGTTTCTGCAGTTTTGTCCTAGTATTGTGGGATGCATTGTGTTTGACTCTGTGTTGCTTTGTGTTTGACAGTGTTGTTGTGTTGAACACAGTGTAGCTTTGTGTTGGACTCAGTGAGGCATTCCCTTGGACAGTGTTACATCGTGTTGGACACAGTGATGCATAGTGTTGAACAGTGTTGTTTAGTGTTGGACACAGTAATGCATTATGTTTGACACAGTGATGTATGGTGTTGGACACAGTGATGCATTGTGTTGAACAGTGTTGTTTAGTGTTGGACACAGTAATGCATTGTGTTTGACACAGTGATGTATGGTGTTGGACACAGTAATGCATTGTGTTTGACACAGTATTGCATTGTTTTTGAGACAGTGATGCATTGTCTTTGACACTCTGTTGCTTGGTGTTGGACACAGTAATTCATTGTGTTGGACACAGTAATGCATTGTTTTTGACACAGTGATGCATTGTCTTTGACACTCTGTTACTTTGTGTTGGGCACAGTAATGCATTGTGTTCGACACAGTCATGCATCGTGTTGGACACAGGGAAGCATTTTGTCGGACACAGGAATGCATTGTGTTGGACACAGTAATGCATTGTGTTGGACACAGTAATGCATTGTGCTGGACACAGTCATGCATCGTGTTGGACACAGTAATGCATTGTGTTGGACACAGGAATGCATTGTGTTGGACACAGTAATGCATTGTGTTGGACACAGTAATGCATCGTGTTGGACACAGGAATGCATCGTGTTGGACACAGGAATGCATCGTGTTGGACACAGGAATGCATTGTGTTGGACACAGTAATGCATCGTGTCGGACTCAGGAATGCATCGTGTTGGACACAGGAATGCATTGTGTTGCACACAGTAATGCATCGTGTTGGACACAGTAATGCATTGTGTTGGACACAGTAATGCATCGTGTTGGACACAGTAATGCATCGTGTTGGACACAGTAATGCATTGTGTTGGACACAGGAATGCATTGTGTTGGACACAGTGATTTATCATGTTGGACAGTGATGTATTGTGTTAGATACAGTTATTTAGTGTGTTCGAATGTGTATACATGGCAGAGGATGAATATTTATAAAAATGGTGAACTGAATTTGTGTTCAGGGATAGGATATGACATACAAAGGAGAGGGTGAAGATAATGTAGACTCATTATTGTTGTATTTATACATGTATCATCTGCTCATTATAAAACCAGTCATGGTGACAGATAACCCATTTATCTTTTCAGTAGACCGATATTGCTGTAATATCACTGACTCGAGATCCAATGATGTCGCTGTAATATTGCTGACTCGTGTCTCTGCTTTGTAGCTGTGATATTGCTGACTTGGGATCCTTTGATGTAGCTGTTATATTGCTGACTCAGGATCCTGTGATGTGTCTGTAATATTGCTGACTCAGGTTTTCATGTAATATTGCCGACTCGGGATCCTGTGATATGGCTGTAATATTGCTGACTACAAGACACATTGATATAGTGGAATATTGCTGGCAAATGTCTGAACACTGTTCACTTTGCCACCTTTTATGCATCATTTTTTATCAATTACTCCTGTTAGCTACAATCTATGGTTTGTCTTGTAGCCTAGCTGTAGTGTCTAGAAAATTAATCAGACTTTATCAAATTACTTGTAATCTATTGGACTATTATTATGAACAAAATAGCCCAAAGTGCTAATTTTTCTAAATATTAACAAAGGCACCTTTTCCGAAATTTCTTCACAGCGAAGCTGTCTGTACTGTGGTGTCCTGACCTTCTGTGTTGTCCCAATGTTACAATCTATCACAGACTGTATTCTGTTTCTTCACATTTCATCTCACGTGTTGTTTTCAGTTGTTTTAAAGACATGGCATTTATATGTTTGTACTTGATAATGGCAGCACAAATGGTACAAATTTTCATCAGTCAATCTCAACATCATTTTCATCAGCTGGTTCGTATCCGAATCTGTAGCTAACCTCATCGATGTGACACTGGCATCGAAGGTGACAATTGTTCAACAGATTCAATATAAACATTATTTTACAGACCCCCTGAATTTTTCCTGATTGCATGGAATGGTCTAGACATTGTAAATAGTGCTGTGTTTGAGTGAGTATGGATTTATGCCTCTTTCTGCAATATTTTAGCAATGTTATGGCGGGGAACACCAGCAATGGGACCTGTGAAGATCTGGGGTAGAATAGGTCTTCAGCAACCCATGCTTGCCGTAAAAGGCGACTAACGGGATCAGGTGGTCAGGCTCGCAGACTTGGTATATGCATGTCATCGATCCCAATTGCGTGGATTGATGTTCATGATATCAATCACTGGATTGTCTGGACTCAATTATTTACATTATTTTCGTCATATAGCTGAGTGTGGCATTAAACAACAAACAAACAAACAAACCAGAAATTGCCTTCGCCAACTGCGCCCATATGGGGAATCAAACCAATGTCTTCAATGTGATGAGCGAACACTTGGCTACCCCACCTCTGTAATTTGCTGAGACTGCACTTCAGCCACCTGCCTACCCACTGCCCCTGCCCTGTGATACATGAAGTTTAACCGATCCAAAGAAAGATGCAAGAACAACATGAACAATGTGGCGCCATGAAAACTCACTTGGTTAATGGAATCTTGAGTATTTTTGTTAGAAACAGGATATTTTTTGGTCACTCCACAAGAATTATCAGTGAACAATTTATGTTTGGAGCAAAATATGAAGACAATTTTTTTCCATTTTTTTTAAAGAAAATCCCAGGGCCCTTCTGAATTTGTAATGGTCGGTCCCCATGGCCATCTTTGCATTGTTGATTTTGGCTTCGACATACACATGCTATTCAGCTATTGAAAAGGATACTGAGCCAATTCGTGCTGCTCCAGAACAGTTCTTGATAATGTGTGTTCATTGTAACTTTAAATGAAGCTACAAAGTGGCTCGGTTGCATGGCATATCAAATACTATTTGCTTGACAACATTTCCCAACAACAAGACACATGCACTCAGAAGATCCTAATCAATCATTGAGTTGTACGTCATAAGGAAAACTTTGTCAGTTAATGGGTTTTATGCCTGAAAATTGGTTTCTGATGTTGGTGGCATAAAAAATTCTTCTTGCAATACAAGGTTTGATTCCCCCCCCTGCTGTGCGTTCTGTGAAAAGATCTGTTAAAGGCTCCAGAAAATACTGTTCTGTTTAGTTTCAGGCAAACTACTGATAGCTTATACTTATAAAGATAAAGTTTGTACAATTCTTGTAACTGCTCATGAGTGAAGGGGGCATTGGTGGCCCAGTCCTAAGGTGTCACAATTTGCTTTGCAGAGTTGCATCCCTTGGGCACGGCAGAAACATGATCTTGGGTTCAAATCCTGGTTTGCCCTGATTATGTTTCCTAATTTGTCAACACCATACCTGTGCTTGTGGTAGTCACCAAAGGGGGAAATGTCTGCACCACTTCGGGCTTTCCTCCCTCTTTAGGCTGACACGCTGTGATGTAACTGGAACATTGTTTAAAGTGGTGTTCAACTGACTCACTTCTTGGAGCATTCAACTGTCTCCCTCTGACATTAATATTGTTCAAATTGTCATAAACTCTCTGAATGGGGGACACGTGTGGCCCAGTTGTCTAATGCGCTACGATTCGCTGTGCAGAGTTGTGTCCCACACCAGAAACTTATGATTGTTAGTTCGAATCCCGGTTCGCCCCGATTACATGTATGTTTCTAGGTTTGTCAGCACCATACCCGTGCTCGTGGGTTTCACCGAAGTGGTAAACGTCTGAGACCTGCATCACTTCGGGCTTTCCTCCCACATTAAGCTGACACACCACAATATAACTGTAATACTGTTCAAAGCGGTGCTAAACCCAACTCACACACTCATTCACTCTCTGAATGAATAGTATGAACCACACCTAGAAGTATAGTGAGTGAGTGAGTGTGGTTTTACGCCGCCTTAAGCAAAATTCCAGCAATATCACAGCGGGGGACACCAGAAATGGGCTTCACACATTGTACCCATGTCGGGAATCGAACCGGGTCTTCAGCATCCTAGAAGTACATACTTCTTCATGCAGTATTGGGGGATGGTGGGAAGCCTAGTGGTTGAAACGTTCGCTCATCACGCTGAAGGCCCAGGTTCGATTCTCCACATGGGTACAATATGTGAAGCCCATTATTGGTGTTCCCGTGATATTGATGGAATATTGCTAAACGCAGCGAAAAACCGAACTCACTTACTCACTCATACCATATCTCACGCTCACTGCAAACAATAAAACTCTAGTGAGGACAGGTCTTTATCTATTATTATTAGTATCATTATTAATAATAATATTATCATTATAATTATTGTAGGTATTTTTCTCATGTTTGTCAGTCAGTGTAAATTTGTAAATATGACACCTGACGATTATGCTTTGCCATGGAAACCTTCTGTAGTTCCATGCACAAATATGATTGTATGCAAATCTTTGATAGTACCCTATGCCTATTGAAACAGGGAAGGCCTGCTTAAATGGCTTCACACACCGATAAGCTATAAGCTTTGATTTAATTCTTGTTAGAAATAAAATCATTGTTTTCAAAAGTACAGTTTCTTGTCTTTTCTCCTATTAATGAGGATTGTCCTTGTCAAACAGTTCTATCTAAGGTGAGGCCCATGGTATATGATCTCGTTGTCGCCCTTGCGAAGACCGATGCTCATGATGTCAGTCACTGGATTCTCTCGTCCAGACTCGATAATTTACAGACCGGCTGGAATATTGCCGAGTGCACTGTTAAATGACAAACAAATAAACCTTGACACCAAAATAATTAAAAATGGCCTTCATCTTTGTGAATTACAGTGGGACATGTAGTTTGGTCTCACACTATGAAGGTTCATACACAAATATTTTTTTAATTTGAAGTTTACACGAAATACGTCTTTCCACTGAAAGAGAGGTCGGTCACGTGACCGCGAAATTGACGTTCATTTTAGGATTAACTGTGGATTTGTTTCGGTTCAATGAGGTATGAATCGAAAAACCGATGTGCAAACTGTATGAATCCGCGAAATAAAGTTAATAAGACCTGTCAATCAAGGCAAGAGGTGGGAAGAACTGCAACAGTCACAACAAATATTCCCGGGAGAAGGCGGTTGTTTCAAATGATTTTGTCAGTTACCGCCAGATTCAATACAGTTCCCTGGGACCGGGAAGGCACAGTTGGACAAATGCGGGTTAGATATGAAACCCGAAGACATGAAATTTGTGAAACCCAGGCGAGCGGACAGAAAACAGGCGAGCACGTCTGCGCGTTTGCTGTTTCAATCCTTCTCGACCTTGGGTCTCAAAGGGTAATTTGGACAATGAATATGCATGAATTTCGTTAAATGTCCTGTGCATGACGAAACACATTAGCAGAAAGGGAATTTCCTCGACTGTGATGCGATTCCCCGACATTCCGTTGTAATAAAAGTAGTCTCCATCGGTGGACGTGGCTTAATTTTTTACATTCATTGAGAAATGAAAGCAATAACACGTGACCAATTCAGCTAATCCGAATGCAGGAATTACAATGAAAACAACGAAAATGTAATCATAAGTGTATGAACTACACAATGTGACGTTCATAAGTTTTTCACGAGACCGTTTTCTTGAAATGACGTAAACACTGACGGACTACTTCCACATTCCTTAGGAACCCCTGGGAATTCCCTAGCACGAATAAATACAGTTTTATGTTTCTCATCATTTAGGACATTTAATCTTGAACTTACTTGAACATTGTCAGTGGTACACATTTCTCAAAACAGGATGCATGCTCATTACAAAACATTATCATGGCACGTCGTAGATTGTCCGAGGCATCAAGGTGGCAGGTTATTAAGAATGAAAAATGCAGGTATGTCTTGGGCGTCAATTTCAAGATTAGTGCAGCATTACTTAGGCTCTCTGGACGAGTGAGTGAGTGAGTGAGGTTTTACGCCGCTTCAAGCAATATTCCAGCAATATCACGGCGAGGGACACCACAAATGGGCTTCACACATTGTACCCATGTCGGGGAACGAACCCGGGTTTTCGGCGTGACGAGCGAACGCTTTAACCACTAGGCTACCCGACCGCCCCCTCGCTGGACGATGTACAGTTGACAACAGAACAGCTTTAACGGCACAGTGGCTACCCGACCGCCCCCTCGCTGGACGATGTACAGTTGACAACAGAACAGCTTTAAAGGCACAGTGGCTACCCGACCGCCCCCTCGCTGGACGATGTACAGTTGACAACAGAACAGCTTTAAAGGCACAGTGGCTACCCGACCGCCCCTTCGCTGGACGATGTACAGTTGACAACAGAACAGCTTTAAAGGCACAGTGGCTACCCGACCGCCCCCTCGCTGGACGATGTACAGTTGACAACAGAACAGCTTTAAAGGCACAGTGGCTACCCGACCGCCCCCTCGCTGGACGACGTACAGTTGACAACAGAACAGTTTTAAAGGCACAGTGGCTACCCGGCAGATCCATGTCAACCAGAATCATCAGAAATCGTCTGTAAACTGTTATATACAGAGCCAGAAGACCATTCAAACGTCCCTTGTTAACTCAGGCCTATAAAGCTGCTCGTTTGGTAGGGTCTAATCCAAGTCTAAACAGGACTACTGCATCATGACGGAGAGTCCATTGTTCTAAATCCAACTCACTCATTAACTCGTGATTTCTCAGGTATTTCCCCACTAACAAAAAATTAGACAGTGTTGACGTCAAATCAAGAATACAGTCTTGTAAAAACGTATGAACGTCATTTTTAACACGTGTTGTTCAAGCATATGAACGTCAGTTTCGCGACAGACCCCTCGTCCAGTTGAAAAGCCATATATCGTGTAAACTTCACATTAAAATAATATTTCAAGATGACGTTGTCCATCGTACATGACGTTCCAGGAATAAACTAATTAAACGTGTCTTCCCTTGAGGTCGTAAAACTGGACTTTTACTGTCAGTTAACTCCCTTGCCTCGGGAAGATGGCACGTAGCAACATAACAACCATTCCCGACACCTAGCTATAGTTCAAAGGCAAAACAGCGAAAAAAACACATGCAGGATACTAGGCAAACATTTATCAAATATCAAAGGCAGTAAAGATAACTCACTGAATTTACTTGTGCATTTATATAGCATCTGATATATCAGTCCCCGGTGTATACTCTATCAGTCCCCGCTATAGTATGCGTTTACA